CCTCTTGGAATCTAGCACAAAGGATTGCCCCCCTTGGCATTGCATTGGCATTGGATTGGGATCGCCATGGCAGTGGTTTTGCATTGTGGTGGCACTACGTTGGCATTGCGCTGGCGAGTCCGAATCGGACGCTCCACAGGAAAATTCGTACTAATCCACCCCAACCAGAAGGATGTCTAGTGACCCCCACACACACACAAAAACACAAGAAGGATTCACATTGAAATCCGCCACAGAAGGATTGCATCCGAAACCCTTCACAGAAGCATTCATGTTGAAATCCTCCGAACATGGGTTCGCAATGGCGCCATCCCAGAAGGATTCCCATTGAAATACACCAAGACAGGATGCCCCCACTTGGCATTGGTTTGACATTGTGCTGGCATCGCGTTGGAAGTGCGCTGGCATTGCGCTGGCGAGTCCTAATGCCTCCCTTCGCAGAAGGATTCCGATTGCAACCCCCAGAAGAAGGATTCTCATCGAAATCCATCAGGAAGGATTGCCCCAAACGGCATTGCATTGGCATCGAATTCGGGTCGCCGTGACATTGATTTGGTACTGCGTTGGCACTGTTTGAGCATTGCGCTGGCATTGTGGTGGCGAGTCCGAATGCCTCCCGTCGCAGAAGGATTCCTATTGAAACCCTCCACAAAAAGGACTCCTTTTTGAAGTCGACAACAAAGGATTGCTCCCATTGGCGTTGTATTGGGGTCGCCTTGGCAGTGGTGTGGCATTGCGTTGGCACTGCTTTAGCATTGCGTTGGCGAGTCCTACTGCCTCCCTTCGCAGAAGGACTCCTATTGAAACCAACCGCAAAAAGGATTCCGTTCGAAATCTACATTAAAGGATTGCCCCCCAACGACATTGCATTGACATCGGATGTGGGATCGCATTGGCATTGCGCTAGTATTGTGTTGGCACTGCTTTGGCATTGCGCTGGCATTGCGCTGGCATTGCGCTGGCGAGATCCAATGCCTCCCGTCGCAGAAGGATTCCGATTGCGACCCCACAAGGATTCCTTTTGAAATCTACCACAAAGGATTGCCCCGACGGCATCACGAGCCTCAGACGAAGTTGCAATCTCCAGCATTCCTTTCCACGATTCCATCATCTGATCCTCCTCCTCCTCCTCATCCTATCCTCCTTCTCCTCCTTCTCCTCCTTCCTTATGCACACGGGGCCTCAAGTGGAGGGGAGAGGATCGAGGATAGAGAAAGAGAAATAGAGAGAGAGAGAGAGCGAAAGAGAAAGAGAGAGGGAAAGATGAGAGCATAACGAATAACACGAAAGAGGAAAGAGAGAGAGAGAGAGGGAAGGAGAGAGAGAGAGAGGCGAAGATAGCGGGATGCATGATAAGAGAGGGAACGAAACATCAAGAAACACAGGAAGACAACGCTGGAAACGAAAGAAACATCTCAGAACGTCCGACGGTCCAACAAAACTGCCCCCCCCCCCCCCGAGCATGGTCCTCGAAATTCCAACCCCATGCCGCTTGGCACAGGGCTGGAATTTCGAAGACCATGCTCGGGGGTGCGATGATTGCGTGAAGGCTGTCGAAACCAGAAGGATTGAGAAAGAGAGACGGACAGAGAGAGACAGAGAGACAGAGAGACGACGAAGAGAGTGGAGTAGATGACGAGAGAACGAACGAGCGAAAGAAAGGAAGAAAAGGAAAGGATAACGCAGCAAATAAAAAAGAAAGGCGGAGGAGCTTTTCACTCGTTTGCATCAAAACACATATGAAATCGACGACGTCCGCCACAATCCCCTGGCCTCAAGCAAGGAGCCCCCTCGTTTGATCGATCTCTCCCGAAGTGGCCCGATTGATGGCCACGAGGCGCCCGCTCCCAAGAGGGCCCCAAGAGGGCCCCCAGAGGCAGCCAAGACGCCCTTAAGAGACCTCGGCGGGAAAGCCATAATTGTTGACTTGACTAAGGTTTTTAAGCCACAGGTTGGCCCCCAGGGGGAGGGGCCCAAAGTAAGGAGCCCCCCTCCTCTGATCGATCTCTTCCAAAATGGCCCCAAGATGGCCCAAAGATGGCCCCGAGGCGTCCAAGATGGCCTTGGTAAGGAAGCCAAAAGCGGGAAAAGGTTTTGGCCACATGTTCGCCTCTTGTGGGGGGGATCCTAATTGGGGAGCCCCCCTCCTTTGATCGATATCTCCCAAAATGGCCCCATGATGGCCCCCGAGGCTCCCAAGGGTGCCCCAAGATGGCCCCAAGAGGTGCCCAGGAGGCCCACGAGGCCCCCACGATATCCCCAAGATGTCCCCTGGAGGCTCCGTAGAGACCCCTAAGAGGCTCCGATAGGCCCCCCAGAAGCATCCAAGACGCCCCAAGAGGCCCCCAGGACGGCTAAGAGACCCCCAAGACGCAACAAGAGGACTCCAAGAACCTCTCGTCAGAAATCCGACAAGACTCCGAGCGGCATCCAAGAGGCCTCTGGCCTTTCTGCTCGCCCTCCTCCTCTTCCCCCTCCTCCTGCTCCTCCTCCTCCTCCTCGACCTCCTCCTCCTCCTCCTCCTCCTCCTCCTCCTCCTCCTCCATCCCTTCTCATGCTCCGCCTCTCCCTCCTCCTCCTCCTCATCCTCCTCCTCCTCCCCCTCCTCCTCCTCCTCCTCCTCTTCCTCCTCCTCTCTCCTCCTCCTCCTCCTCCTCCTCCTCCTCCTGCTCCTCCTGCTCCTCCTCCTCCTCCTCCTCCTCCCTCCTCCTCTTCCTCCTCCTCTTCCTCCTCCTCCTCCCCTCCTCCTCCTCCTCCTCCTCCTCCTCCTCCTCCCCTTGCTCCTCCTTCGATTCCTCATCCAGCCTCCCCCTCTTGGGGTACGACGTCTGACCCAACCCTCTATTCCACTGCACTCTACTCCACATCCCTGATCAGGGCCGAATCGAGACAAAGTCGGACGGGTATAGATCAAAGATCTCTTAGAATCAGCGGGGCGCCGCGGCCGCTTCAGCGTTCCAGAACGCTCTCAGAGCGTTCCGGAGCGCCCTCCCTCGGGTGCGCACTGACCCAGGTCAGTGCAAACCAGGGTCAGTCGGGCGTTGCAGGATCCTGCGAAATCATATCGGATCCTGCAGGATCCTGCGCAAAAAAACCCAAGGTAGTGCACCCCTGGCTCTGATCCTGGCAAATCCAGCGCTCTGGCTGACCCCCGTTTGCATTGACCCCCGTCTTAAGGCTCCCGGTTCCCCCCCTCCCCTCGAGGCCAGCCGCTTCTCTCTGAGGGGCCGCTCTACCTCGAGGGAACCAGCGCCAGGGGGGTGGGGAACCATCGATATGCAATCGGGGATACATCGCCGATGGATCGGCGACAAAGGCCACCCATGGTTATGGATGCCATGACAATGGACACTCTAACAATCCTATCATTCAATTAAAAAATGTTTGACATGCGTAAAACATGATCTAAAAATGTTTGAAACATGCTTTTACATATTAAAACATGTTTGAAACATGTTTTAGACATCTGGAAATGATTTGGCAGCATGCTTCACCCATGGCGAATCCGCACGCCCCTGGGCGGGGTGGGGCTATTGGGCCCCTGAGGCCCCCCCAGGGCCCGAGAAACGGCCCCCAGAGGCCGAACCAAGCCAGACACCTGTCCCGAACCCAGAACCTCGAACAGTCGGACTTGATTGGACAGGACAAGCGAGAGGACACAAGACCCTTCGGAGTGCCACATTGCCATTGGAATGTAGCGGGCATGAGTCGCGAGACACAGGACACAAGGGTACCCTTGATCTGGCAGGATCGACCTACTAATCAGTGCCGACTGAACCTGCCCGCCCTCCCTGCGGGCCCGAACCTCCGCTGGGTCCGCCGAGACCCCCAGCGGGCTCCAACTCCCGCGCCCGCTGGCCAAGCAGCGGGCGCGAGTGCTCGACGCGGGCGGCGTCCGGAGCGGCGCAAGAGGCGGAGGAGGAGGAGGAGGAGGTGGAGGAGGAGGAGGAGGAGGAGGAGGAAGGAGGAGGGGGCGGAGGGAGGAGGAGGAGGGAGGAGGAGGAGAGGAGGAGGGAGGAGGAGGAGGAGGAGGAGGAGGAGGAGGAGGAGGAGGAGGAGGAGGAGGAGGAGGAGGAGGAGGAGGAGGAGGAGGGGGGGAGGAAGGAGGGAGAGGAGGAGAGGGGAGGGGGAGGAGGAGAGGAGGAGGAGGAGGAGGAGGAGGAGGGCGGAGGAGGAGGAGGAGGGAGGAGAGGCGGGAGGCGTCGCCGTCGACGGGGCGGATGGGGCGGCCCGCGGGTGCGGGGCCGCGCACGGCGCTGCCAAGCGGAGGGCTCCGCGCGCGCGGCCCGGCGGGGCCGAGCGGGGGCTGGGCGGCCGAGGGGAGCAGAAGGTGTGCCCCCTCGCCCGCCCTCCTCCCTCGTCCTCCTCCTCCTCCTCCTCCTCCTCCTCCTCCTCCTCCTCCTCCTCCTCCTCCCCCCTCCTCCTCCTCCTCCCCCTCCTCCTTTTTCCTCCCTCCTCCTCCTCCTCCTCCTCCTCCTCCTCCTTCTCCTCCTCCTAAGGGTGAGCGCACGGACAGGGGCCAGCGGGCCAGGGCGGAGGGGGTTCGACCCTCCCCCCCCCCATGACCAAAGAATTTTTGGGACCAGAGAATGTTTGTTTTTTGGCCCTGGGACCTAAAAGATCTTTGGTCCTGGGGCCAAAGAACTCTTTGGTCCCGGCACCCCACCGCCGCAGACGCCAAACCAGCAGCTGCTGTCATTCATGCCGTCAGGAAGCACTGCTCGGCGCGTCGCGGCGGCGGCCGCGGCGACGCGCTATCCCCTGCAATCGGCGCCAGCGTGTCGCTGCTGTCCGCAGGGCGGGATGCCTCGAGGGGCTCGGGAGGTTGCCGCTCGGGGATTCGGGAGTGGATAACGTGTGGCGCCGAAACGTGGTGGACCAGAACCGGCGGAGCGACACACTGTCCAAAAGTTCACGACCGTGAGAGAGAAAAAGAGAGAACATCGCCGATCTCCGATGGACACGTTGATGCCGCGACCGGGCCAGGGCAGGGGGCCAGCCGACCTCGTCGCCGGACGCAACGTCCCAGCCGAGGCCGGCGAACACCTGCCCCAGCGACCCGGTCTCCGGGAGACCGAACACCTCGCCCTTCTCCATTGCGAAGGCGACCTGGCTGCCGGCGAGCACAAGGGATAGAGGCCTCCCAAATAGAGTCCGAGCAGATGGGGTTGGAGGATCGCGCCGCATCGACGATACACCGGCGATGCAGCGGCGATGCAACGGTGATGCAGCGTCGACGTCGACGATGCATCGGCGACGTCGGCGTGAAGCAAAATGGGATCTACATCGAGAAGCATCGCCGATGCGTCGGCGATGCGGAGCGATCCTTCGACCTCACGTACTCGGATAGAACATCAAACGGCTTTTGCGGCCACCGGTAACCATCAAACGTGTGATGTTCCACATATGGCCACCGGTAGCCATAAAAAACGTGTGATGTTCCGTCGAGCCGCAGCGCCGAGGCGTTGGCGATGTGGAGCGATCTTTCGACCTCAACCACTCGAGCCCCGTTCGGAAGGCCCAGAGGGGAAGGGCGGTCGGGGGGCTGACCTCCACTTCTCCCTCGCCCATCAGGCAGGCCTTCGGAACGCCCCTGCCAGCGCAGGCTACGAAGACCACTGCTCCGTCCCTACCTGGGCCGTCCTCTTCCCCCTCCCCCTCCCCCTCACCTTCACCCTCACCCTCACCCTCCTCCTCCTTCTCCTCCTCCTCCTCCTCCTCCTCCTCCTCCTCCTCCTCCTCCTCCCTCCTCCTCCTCCTCCTCCTCCCCCTCCTCCTCCTCCTCCCCTCCTCCTCTCCCCCTCCTCCTCGTCCTCCTCCTCCTCCTTCTCCTCCTCCTCCTCCTCCTCCTCCTCTCTGCTCCTTCCCCCCCTCCTCCTCCTCCTCCTCCTCCTCCTCCTCCTCCTGATCCTCCCCCTCCTCCTCTCCTCCTCCTCCTCCTCCTCCTCCTCCTCCTCCTCCTTCTCCTCCTCCTCCTCCTCCTCCTCCGTCCCCCTCCTCCTCCTCCCCTCCTCCTCCTCCTCCTCCTCGTCCTCCTCCTCCCCTCCTCCTCCTCCTCCTCCTCCTCCTCCTTCCTCCCCTCCTCCTCCTCCCCCTCCTCCTCCTCCTCCTCCTCCTCCTCCTCCTCCTCCTCCGTCTCCTCCTCCTCCCCCTCCTCTCCTCCTTCTCCCCCTCCTCCTCCTCTGTTTCGCATGATCCTCCGTATTGCTATGATTCGTATTATTAGTATGATTAGTCTTACCATTATGTTTATTACTAGTAGAATGAGTATGAATAGCATTAGTGTGATCATTGTTATTACTTATAGTAATAAGTATTATATTGGTATGAGTTATCGTTGTATTGCTGTTAGTCGTATCAGCGCTAGTGTTAGTATTGGGGTGAGTGTTCTGAATACTGTTTCAGGAGAATAGCATTGATAACATATTGCTAGGTATGTAGTTATCTTATTGATCGTAGTAGTATAAATATTCTTAATAGTACTATTATTCTGCACTCGTATTATGAAGATTCTTAATACTCGTATCATTACTATGTTTGTTAGTCCCCGTAGTCCTCGTAGTGTTCACATTATTGTGTTATTACTACTATGTATTAATAATATTAGGCATGCTAGTACGATTCGTATCATTGTTGGAATTCGCATGATTACGTACATTATGATAAAATGATTTCAGCGCGACTGAAAGTAATAGTATGTGCAGCATGATTAGTAATATTTGTAGTATGAATACGATTATCCTTCGTGCTAGTAGTAGCAATGGTAACATTGTGCCGCGTAGTAGTATGAGTAGTGTCCTTCGTACCAGTCCAACCATTATTGTTCTTAGTATCCATATGATTGGTAGTATTGTAGATGTTAGCGTTGCGTTTATTGTTCGCATTATAATTCGTATTAGCATTCGCGTTATTATTATTGGTCTGAAAATTCGTCGTGTGCCTTAGTAATAAAAATATACACATAAGTACCGGCATCGCTATTAGTATTCGTCGCCTGTATGTGATTACAAGTATTATGAATATGATCGGTATTACCATTGTTAGTATTGGCCTTATCACCTTTAGTCGCATTAGTATGATTGCTCCTCCTTTTCCTCCTCCTCCGTTCTCCTCCTCCTCCTACTCTTCCTCCTGCTCCTCCTCCTCCTCTTCCTCCCCATCCTCCTCCTCCTTCTTCTCCTCCTCCTCCTGGTCCTCCCCCTCCTCCTCCTCCTCCTCCTCCTCCTCCTCCTCCTCCTCCTCCCCCTCCTCCCCTCCTCCCCCTCCTCCTCCTCCTCCTCCTCCTCCTTTTCATGTTCTCTTTCCTCCTCTCCTCCTCCTCCTCCTCCCCTCCTCCGCCCCCCCCTCCTCCCCGTCCTCCCCCCCTCCTCCTCCGCTTCCTCCCCCTCCGCTTGTTCCTCATCCTCCTCCTCGTCCTCCTCCTCCGCCTCCTCCTCCTCCACTTTTTGCGTTCTGAATAACTTCTCCCTGTCGCACCTGAGGCCTGTTTTTAGGGCGGGTCGGGCGTTTCGCATGAGACTTCCGCACCACTAATGACGCCGAAACTAAAAATGGCAAGAGCTTCACAGATGGAGGCTGGGCGGTCTTCAAAATGTGGTGTTCGCCTTCGCGCCGCGCACATGTGTTCTAAACATTTGCAAGGGCTTCACGGGTTGAGGGCGGGTCGTCTTCAAAATGTGGCTCTCACCGCAGCGCCGCGCACATCTAATCTAAAAAATGCAAAGGCTTCACAGATTGAGGGCGGGTCATTTTCAATTTGTGGCCCTCGGCTTAGCGCCGCGCACATTTTCAAAAGTTACCAGAGCTTCACGGATTGATGGCGGGTGGCTTTCAAACTGTGGCTCTCGCTTTTGCGACGCGCACATCCGTTCTAAAACATTGCAAGAGCTTCACGGATTGAGGGCGGGTGGTTTTCAAACATTGGCTCTCGCCATAGCGCTGCACACATCCGTGTTCAAAAATTGCACCTGTTTCACGGTTTGAAGGCGGGTGGTTTTCAAAATGTGGCTCTCGCCTTAGCGCCGCGCCCATTCGTTTTCAACAATTGCAAGTGCCTCACGGATTGAAGGCGGGTGGTTTCCAAAGTGTGGATCTCGCCTTAGCGCCGCGTCCATTCGTTTTCACTAGCTGCAAGAGTCTCACGGATTCCCATGATCAACGTACCAAACATTCTGGGTTGGAAAGAAGCAGGGTTACTCGGGTGCAACAGTTATGTTGATTCGCTGTGTCGAAGTCCCAAAAATGACGTTATGGCACGATTCTGGATCGTTCAGACGCAGCAGCCAGGTTGATCCGTGGCGCTGCCGAGAACAATGTTGTGGCATGTTTCAGCGTCTGCAAACGATCGTGCTGCAACGAGGCAGTTCCCTCAATGCAAATGAACCGCTGTACGGGCCTATGACAAGGGAGCTTGGAAAGACGGCTCGCTCCAACATCTTTGATGACTCTTGGGTTACACTGGTCCTCCTCCTCCTCCTCCTGTTCCTCCTCGTCCTCCCTCTCCTCCCCCTCCTGGTCCTCCTCCTCCTCCTCCTCCTCCTCCTCCTCCTCCTCCTCCTCCTCCTCCTCTGCCTCCTCCTCCTCCTCCTCCTCCTCCTACTCCTCCTCCTCTCCTCCTCCTCCTCCTCATCCTCCTCCTCCTCCTCCTCCTCCTCCTCCTCCTCCTCCTCCTCCTCCTCCTCTTCCTCTTCCTCCTCATTCTCCTCCTCTTCCTCTTGATGCTCCTCCTCCTCCTCCTCCTCCTCCTCCTCCTCCGCCTCCTCCTCCTCCCGCTGGGGCTGCCCAGCCTGCCACCATCCTCGCCCAGGCTTTCGCCGTCGCGCAAGATGCTGCTGCGAAGGCGGCGCTGCAGGCGGCCATGGTCAAAGCCACATCTCCGCCGACGGCCCCAACTGCCTCCAAGGGTGAGGCGCATCGTCGGGCGGAGCACGCATGGGCTGCAATCAACAAGGAGCACGACGCGGCGGTCGCGGCAGTCACCAGGGCCAAGGAGCAAGTCCAGCGGGGAGCGGCTCGCGAGGAGGAGGCGGCACAGCAGCTTGCGTCAGCCGAGGCCGAGAGGAAACTCACCATCCAGGCTCTTGCTGAGACAGCAAAGCTTACAGCGGCGTCACCATCTGCGCTTAGGACGGGCGGGCCTGGCATACCGCAGGCCGAGGAAGAGGCGAAGCTGTCTGATGTTCAGTGGGGCAGCAGTTTCTTCGAGGCGGCACGCCGAGGTGACTCCGAATGCGACGGTGCTGGGCAGGCCAAACTTGAGCAGTTAGAGAAGGACCTCGTCACAACCAAGATTGTGTTTGACGACCGTGCTGAGAAGGCCAAAACCTGGAGGCAGCGGATGCGAGCGTTGCAGGAGCAGCTTCAGGATCGCATGGCCAAGAGGAGGAAGGGCAGTCAAGCGCAGGCGCACAGCGGCAGCCAGCCCCAGGAGCAGCAGGCGCCCGCCGCAGCCGAGGCCGGGCAGGGGCGGCACGCAGGCCAGCGACGCCAAGCCTGACCAGGGGGCCATCGACGCGGAGATCCGCAGGATCCGCGAGGCCAAGGAGGCGGCGGCGCGCGAGGCGGCAGCCACGGCAGCGCAGGCGGCAGCGGCGGCGGCGCCCAAGGAGAGCGGCAAGGGCCCGGCGCCCCCAGCCGCCAGAGCGGCGCCAGCTGCCGGCCTGCCGGGTCGGGAGCCAGAGGGCCCCCAGAGCCCGACCGCCCGTCGCGCCCGCGCGGTCGGGAGAGAAGCCCGAGGAGCGGCGTCCACATCTTCCTCGGGAGCAGCGGCCACGGCCACATCCACGGGCCCGTCACTGTCGGTGTCGGCTGCCACGCCCTCCACCTCGGGGTCCAGCTTCTCGCCCACGGCCTCTTCGTCCGCTACGGCTTCCTCGCCGTCAGTGGCGAATGAGAAGTGCGCGCAGGTGCGCAGTTCCTCGGCAGTTCCGTCGCGCACAGCGGATTCGCCGGCACCTGCTTCGTCTTCTGCTGGGGCGGATGGCGAGGTGGCGCAGGCATTGTTCTCCAACATGACCATGCTTGGACGGAATTCGTGGGGCTATGTCATGGATCTCGCGAAGAGTCGTGAGTCTTAGCACATCGCGCTGCGCGAGACTCACGTCGGCGCC